AGATTATTTTGTCCCCTACTTTCTGGATGGCAGCAACGAAACTGTCTTAAATTTCGATAAAACGAAAAAACTAGTACCGCATTCTCCTATTTTCGTAATCTGGCCTATTGAACTCTTCAACGTTGCTTCGTTTTTTAAATGTCCATGCTCCACCTCTATTTTCTACAAAACGCGGATTGATAAAATCCCAGTTCGGCACTTGTGCCTGAAACACGACAGTTCTTAACAAGTAAAATGTGTCATAATCCATGAAGACAAACTGTCGAAAACAGAAAGACGAAACGAATTTTTGGTAATTCCCAAGAGTGTCAGAAGAATGTAGGGAAGACCGCCAGTGCGGTAGCAGAAATTGTTTGAACGGCTCTATGGAATTTCGTGAATGTGAGATGCCAAGGAATGTCGCCATCTGCAACAGGTAATGCGTGGGCAAAAAATCCGTTTACCAAAGTATCGAAGATTTTTTAGGCCAGCTATTTCATTTATTTTTTGTGAAACTAGTTAGCTTTAATGCATGGCTACGACGGTTTCTTACCATTTTAATAGGATCAGGCAGACGATAATCGCTGTTACCATTTCGCACTCTTGTTTCGTATTGCTCTGGCCTTCTCAGTAACTCGTAATATGCATTGCGATTATCCGCTGGTTCTCGCTCTCGCCTGCTTTTCTGATAGTACTGCAAAAAGAAGTCAAGAAAGAAAATAAATCCGCTAAAAAAAGACAAGAAGTGTTTTCCAGGTTGTTTTACACTTGGTAAGCCGTGTTCTCTTGCAGCATCTGTTTCCACTGGTGCCCTTGGCCGCCGAACCGATAAATTTTCTGGGGAATCTGCAGCAGTCCACGCTAACTCCTCGCTTCCAACGATTTTTCTTGTTCTTGGCGGCGTGGTTAGTGACTGTTTGGCTGTTTGTGCTGGAACTTCACTACAGGCAGTTCTTCTTGTCACTGGAGGACTGGCAAGTAAACATTCACGGCGTGCTTTAAATGCCTTACGCCTTCTTTTGAGATCCTCAAACCTGAAAGTGATGTATCTGTAAAGCGAATAATCCCATGCAAACTTTA